CAGAGAGATAGCATAGCAAATCCACCAATGCTCTTCTACTTGATCGACAAATATCTTGACGATGAAGACGTATTTTCTTTTTTTCATATTCACTTTGTAGCGTGGCGTATGCTTCACTCTCCTTCTATTTCGTGCTTTCGCCGGTTTCTAAACTTCATAATTATTTTTGTCTCATTTAAAGCATTCGAAGCAGTACAGCGATCAGTTGAAAAAATTCTATCCACGGCTGAGACTTTGGCACAGCTGGTTGAATGCGACACAGCTGGGAAAAAGAGCTGGCACCTATCGGTGGCGTGGACGAAATGCAACAACAGATGACGAATTGAATCCGAAAACACTCCCCAGCGGTCTGGATGATTTCCCACGTGCCACCCATCCCACGGATGACGTAAGTTTTTGTAAGCATTTTTCGACATTGTTGCAAGCATCACATTTGGAGCCAACCATTCGTTTATTTCTGTTTATTTACTTGCCTGGTCAAGCCGCTAAATTTGTTCGAACCAGTTTATGAGCTGTGAAAAAAAATACTTCTCCTGACACACATCCTTAGTGTTTTACAGGCCCATTTATTCCAGAAATACTTGGTTTCCTGTGCTCATTGTTTTTATCAGTAATATTGCTGTTTGTCAAAATATCTGTCTTTGTTCACTTTTGTTGAAATACGGAGACATTAGAAAGTGGTTCATGTGATGGCAGTCGGTTAGCAGCAACCGTTTGAAGGCAGTACCGCTTCGAGCAGGCTTTGTCGTGTCAGAACACGAAAAGTGATAGATAAAATTTAATCTTGAATGTTTCATTCTGTTCTTTCGTGTGTGTGTATAAAAAATATGCAAGAGGGGATCACAAGGGGGGAGAAGGAGTAAGAAATTCTGGGGTAGAAAAAGCGGTTATTCCTGAAACAGGGGGTGCTGGGATACGGCGGACTGAAAGAAGACTGCGACGTTGAAAAACGGACTGACCGGGGAGAAGAAAATTACGTGCGAAATTCGGGAGCCAGCAGCTGCGAGATCTGTTGGAGTTCTCAGACTTTGATGTTTGTACGTGTATCGTTGCGTTTTTGGCTTTGGTATATTAAAATAAGAAATTGAGCTCTTTGCTTGAAGCACAGCTATTTGATCATAGGCGTAAATTAAATGATCAACAGGCTTGCTGCAGTAACAGAAAGAGTCGCCTCTCTATAATCCTTCGATCCTGTTTGAAGGTGCA